GGTATAACTTGAATTTTTACCATAAAATAAGGGTACAAATTCCTATATGATACAACTTGAACTTATACATTAAACGTTATGGTACAACTTCAAGTTGTACATTAAAGCACCAATGCTTTATAACGTAGTAAAAATGCTCATATTGAACTTTAGTCCATCGTAAAAAGGTGTCGAGAACTTGGAATCCATCACATGACAAGACCTGTAAGCAATTGGGTTTATATGTTCTCGAGATTTTGCTGATATGACACACTGATAGTACTTCTTGTAGCTCTTTTTATTAGAAATGTCACTTAACAATAGAAATGACATTTTTTTATTATGGGTATAATATGCCTCTCTATTAGGCAGTTTTATTAAACATGTCCCTCTACTATTTTTTACATCAAACATGTCCATATACTTTGAAAAAATTATCAAACATGCATTTTGTTAAAAGTTTTATCCAAAAACCGTTAACCACGATTAAACCTTTGGGCGACACAAATGTCTAAAATATCCCTAACAATTTTACTTTAGAATTTTTATGTTTCTGTTGTATAGTCAAATACCTCTAATAATTTAATTTTAACGAGACCTAGAGATATAAATTAGGTGGGGAAATTGACATTTTCCCTCTCATTTGCCGATGTTGGGTCGTCTGAATCTCGGTTCAATCATGGTTTACGATTTTTTTAAAGATTAACATAATAGCATGATAGATAGTTTTTCCAAAATATAGAGGCGTGTTGACAGGTTTTGGGTCGGGTTTGGGGTTAAACTCACTCACTAATCAATGGGTTAGGTTGGGTTGGGTTTGGGTTTAGGTATACTCGCCTCGTGGATACTCGCTCACACCCATATAATTAATTTTCCCGATATATTTAATATTCTAAACAACTAATCTTATTTATGTTTGTGGAGACATGCCTAATTTTTTCTTTCTAATTGTGTAGAATGAAGTTGATATTATCGAGTGGAGAGAAGCTTTCAATTAATCATGTTGTTTATGGATAATTTGTGATTTACTTCAATTTTCTTGAGTTTTCTAGATTGGCGTTGAATAATTTGTATGGTTAATTGTGATTTGCTTAAATTTTCTAGAATGGTGTTTTATATATTGATAATTTGTATTGAGAGATTGATATTTGACTTTTATTTTGATAGGAACTTGTTATTGTAAATTTTTTACGACAAGAACCCATGGGTACCAATGAACCCGCGGATACCCAATGGGCTGGGTTGAGTTTGAGTTTCCAAAACCCAATGAGTTTTACCCCGAGTTTTTTTCACGGATATACCCATGAGTTTGAATTTGAGTTTGGCAAAACCCAACCCGACCTATTGCCATCGACACACAAACCGAACAAGAGGGGTGATAGAACCTTGTTTCTAGGATTCTATCGGGAATTGGGGATTTAGGGATTAAGAACAGAATTAGGGATTTGAGATTGAGATTGAGATTAGGAGAGGAAGAATAGAATAAAGAATCGGCTGAAGCCTTGGACTAAGCAAGAAGAGAAATTAGGATATAAGGAGAGCTTAGGGTTTGGGAAGATAATTCTTTAACTGATTTCTGCTTAATCCCACAAAAGACCTAGAGTACATATTTATAGCTAAGGACTAGAAAAACCTAATAGACTATCCTAATATGACTCAACCCTAATAATAATTATCCTACCATAATTAATAATAGAAAACCCTAACAACCATGTTTCTATCATTCCCTCCTCCTTGAAACCAACCTTGCCCTCAAGGTTGTCCGACTCTACCCACTTCTTCACATCTCTTATGCCATCTGCGACTTGACTTCTCCGTTTCTGGCCCTAGGCCTTTAGAGGGATTGGGAACAAGAATTGAGAGGATTGGGAGAATAGGGTTTAGGAGATTGTTTCTTAATATTCTTCTTGACTTCCTCTGAATAAAACGCGAGTACATATTTATAAGGAAAGAACTGGAAAACTCTAAGAATTAACCTAATACGACAAAAAGACTACTAACCCTACTAGTAATTAGCTTAATAATAACTATAATAATAAGACCATAATAGAAACCCTGGGTTTCTATCATCCGCTCCCCCTTGAGAACAACCTTGTCCTCAAGGTTGTTATCAAACCCATCTCCACACTTCCAATCCTCTCGATAATGATTCGGTTGGGGTCCACGCTTCCTTCTCTTCCAATTTCGTTCATGCACTCGAACTAACTTTCTAGCACAAGTAGCTGCAGTAGCCCCCAAAACCTTGCCATAGGTACCATCAAAATCATTTGCAGCTGATGCTTTTGAAGCAAACAAATTCCCTGAGTGTCCCCGTCTTATTCTAGGCCACGTCCCATGCATGCGAGTACATGACCACACAAGAGAGGCGACAGCAAGCATTGGAATTGTCGACGTAAGGAGCGGATCCTCATAACTAGTCTCGGATCTTGGCGCAATCCATTCTTGCATGGGGGACGTACACCATTTTTCTTCTCCACGTATGCAGCTTCTTCCATCAATCACCTCCTTCCACCTTCTCCCTACACGTGCCAAAAAAATGGAGCCTAGCTCCACATAAGCTTCCTGCTGCCCCTCTTTTTTCCTTGTGACTTTGCAAGGAAACACCCCCTTTACATCATTCCTCCTACGCTTCTTCTCGTAACCCCTCATTTTGCCGCCTTCGCTTCCAAATTTGGAAACCCCATTTTGTACAGAGTGATCTTCTTTGTTTACTATCATAGACATCGATGAGGGAATGGCACTATTCCACCCGCCACTTGCAGGTATCTTGGACTCCCTCTTCCTCTCGACCGCAGCAGAGGCCTTCTTCTTCAGCTCACACTGCTGGCCCGAAAGACCCCGGAAAAGCCCAACGCAGGCTTCTTCATGACCAAGCTTGCTCTGCTCCTGCCCAAGATTCACTCGCCGATCAATCCAGCCCATCTCCATTTTTCTTGGCCCGTCGTCCCAATTCCTCCAGCCCAATTCAGCAGATTGCTGTCGTTTCTGTGCGTTGTCCCGTAAGCTCAAAGCCAGTCGCCTAGGATTTGCTAGAGGAACGTCAACGCCGCCTCCACCTCCCTTCTTCTTCTTCCTCCTCGATATCGGTGGCCAATCCCATCGTCGGCTAGCCACCGTCCCCATCTTTCTCGCTAGCGGGGCTTCCCTCTTTTTCTCCCCCACCAGAGATGCTCCGATCTTCAGCAACCCTTTCTTCTTCTTGAACTTCCATGATGCAACATTCTCAGTTAAACCCACACTTCTTACCTTTCCGATCACCGCTCCAACTTTCAAAGGAAACTTAACCCTCGTCGCCTTGTACTTTGCTCTCCTACAGCCTGGATTGACGGGTACGGCCGCGGACCACGCTAGAGTCGTCGAGGAAAGATGGAGCTGTCCCCCCTCGCTGGCTTCTAGCTGGTTGGATGCGGCTTCCACGGCGACGTCCATGGCTACTACAACCTCCCGAAACTGTGGCGGTTTGCTAACAAAATCGGCCGTCGGGTCTGCCTTACCTAAGTCAACTAGTGAGGAGGTTCAGATCAACGGATTGGCCAAGATCACTATCGTCGACTCCTCATCGCCCGCCCTGGACGCGCCTCTCTGTCGCGCTCTCTTTTCCCCTATCTCGTTCAGCAGCGCTATTTCTCCATGCCACTCGGCATCACACTGCGCAACTGCCTTGGCTGGCGCTGCTTCCTCGATCTGCATCCCATCATTTTCTTCGTCCATGTCCGCCGGTGAAGCGATACCGATCAAGTGATTGACCGATACCATCTTCGCCGACTCTACCGCCTCCTCGGCCTGCGGCGTTTCTCCCTGCCGCGCTCCCGCCTCGATCGCGCCGCCTGCGGCGACTTCGACCCGCGACCGCAGCCACCCGGGGTTCCGCCTCCCCCTCCAGCCGCTTCGCCCGCCGCGACGCCTTGATCGGCCGTCAGCGTGGGCCGCCGCGGCTGGCCGGCCGCCGCCACCTGCAGCGCCGCGCGTCACTCCATCGTCTCGGCAGTCACCAGTTCACGGCCCTGTTCACTCGCTGTCTGAGCTTGGGCAGTTCGGATGGCGTCATACTGTTGCTTCACACAGGCCCATTCCTGAGCAGAGAGCCGTATCGAGCTCATTGGAGGCTCTGATACCAAATGATAGAACCTTGTTTCTAGGATTCTATCGGGAATCGGGGATTTAAGGATTAAGAACATAATTAGGGATTTGAGATTGAGATTAGGTGAAGAAGAACAGAATAAAGAATCGGCCGAAGCCTTGGACTAGGCAAGAAAAGAAATTAGGAGATAGGGAGAGCTTAGAGTTTGGGAAGATAATTCTTTAACTGATTTCTGCTTAATCCCACAAAAGACCCAAAGTACATATTTATAGCTAAGAACTAGAAAAACCTAATAGACTATCCTAATATGACTCAACTCTAATAATAATTATCCTACCATAATTAATAATAGAAACCCTAACAACCATGTTTCTATCAAGGGGTGATGTGCCAATATTTGACTATTTGAGACAAAATCAGAGAAGGTTTTTCGGAATGGCTGCCTTTTCTACTTCAATCCTTCCCTTTCCAACCATCTTCTCAATCATTATACATGATTGGACATTCACGTATGTTGACAAAAACATTTAAGGAAAATTTATGTTTTTCCCTTGAATCATTAGGCGATGATGCTCTCTAATACTGGATGAATCAGAACTTACATGGTCGAAAAGGAACTTTCTTACGCCCACACATAATAATCCATCTACCGAACGTTCAATTCAATCACGGCTGTCTCTACCCTTTTCGTCATCATTAGAATTAGTGTATACATATATATGCTCTTGAGTGAAAAAAGCTGCAGTTTTGTTAACATGTCGCAGAAAACAGGGCAGGTGACGTCAGTTGTGCAGAACACCCTCAAGATTCATACTCAGTTTTCAGGTGCTAACCATGTTTTCCTGAGGGAGTGGAATTCTCTCTGCTGGGATTGATCTTCAACAATTCCAATGGTTGCATGCTGAAGTGCATTACAGAGTATCATGTTCCATAGGTTTCTTCAGCTAGTTTGACCAATTTGAAGCTTTGCCAGTTGGGCTTGACGCCTTCCCAAATGAAATGCAGTGATTATCCACAGTAAACAGACCTGGCCATCCAAAACTCAACTTCGATTTAGTAAAGAATAGCGCGTGCTGGGTACATAAAATGAAACTTTGATGTAGTTATTGATAATAAGATGGCTATACGTACAGGTAAGGCATACAAAGAGACAGTTGATGTCTTCCCATGAAGAAAGCTGAATAGTAACTGATACATTCCTGCTGCTGTAGCATCCCCAAGCCGCTGGACAATTACATCTATGCAGACCTGAAAAGAAAAAACAACAGCAACGGGATGATGCACTTCAGATTACATTTTGACATTTTCACGTACCAGCTAGTTTCAATAGAGGAATACAAGAAAGACAAACCAAGGTCACTAATAGTAAAATGGCTCCAGGAGAAATTATTCTAGGGGCATCTGTTTACCAGAGAGGTCACATTCACAGACCTTAGCTTTGTATTTCTCATCCTGAGAGACAACAGTGAAGAGGAGCTCTCTTCCTGGCCTAGTCACTACATAGGAAACCACCTGCGAGGAAAAAAAATAAAGCAATTCAATATGCCACTTTGAATAAGCCAGCCTCTTCAATTAACACATTTTTTCTGCCAGCAGATGAGGAGGAAGCAAACCCGAATTTCAGAACTCTGAAACTCAACATAGCGCAAGATGGTAAACTGAACGGCCCAGTAAATAGATTGAGAAAAAGCGAATAAAGGCATCAAGTATGCATTCAGACCTTCCGTAAGGTCTCACAAATGGCAACCACCATCCAACTCGGCCAAACAGCAACAGCAATCAAATTGGAGAAGGCGACAACAGGAGCCGAGCATATAGCTATAGTGACCCCAGCCAGAGTCAGTATACGTCCCTGTAGTGGAATTGATCAGTAAAAGCGAAATGAATTGCAAAATCCTTAAGATTAATAATTAAAAGATATCAGTTGATATTTCTTTAGCTCTGGTATTGACAATTAAAGAATTGTAAATAAGGATGCTACTCAGTTGGGAGCATCATCTCCAAATTTTGGGAACTTTTGTCAATTAGGCACACACTGAGTAATAACAACCTCCATGTACAATATTTAGAATTCAGACAAGTGCAACAAACAGATTATGAGCTTCGTCATGATGGGATGGAAATAATTGTAAAATGAATAATGGCAACAGCCCTTATTCTCATTCTGTTGTCTAAAGTTGGTCTTGCAGAAATGTTAAGCAAGTCAAAACTGAAAGTCAGCTACCATGATGAGGATATAAAGGTTAGAAAGTACTTTTCAAGAGTTCTCTCAGTTAACTTACTTAGAGTAATTTTTTACCTTCTGCAATTAGATAAGAGATAGCAATAATAATTTTTACATGTTTGAAACTATCTTACCGCTACTCACCGTTAAAGTAAGTTGTCCAGCAAGTATAAAGACAGCAATGAAACTATTTATCTGCGCAAACATTCGCCTTCTGCCAATAGAAGTTGTTATGGTCAAGGCAATTACTGTCACTTTCTGCAGACACAAAACATGCAGAAGGTAACATATCAGTCAACAAGAGACTAAAATAGACAACACATTGCAGCTTCTCCTACACAAATGGAAGGTTTGCGTTCTGTAATTAAATATGAAAGTATGTAAAACCGAGATCAAGATAGCCATACAGTGGTGAGTGGACCAACTCCCCACAATTCTACAGAGTTCGCCAGCACATAACAATTTGAATACCACAAAAACTAGATGCACAAAGGGAAGCGGAGGGGTGATAAAAAAAACATTCGGTGATTATAAGGAATCCCAGAACCATATCAACTCTGTAACCAGCAAGGGATCTATAGAATTTTCTTATAAGAACCTCACACAGTAGGACAAGATCACAATAGATGAAGTTAAGATAAAGCAAATCTACAGAACTTGAGATTCGATGCTTAACCGATAAGATGGTTAGCTACATAAAGCATGGGCAAAATCGAAACTACTTACGGTGAAGATAAAGAAATAAAATGAATACAGCTTAGCTCTAAGGAACCATGCATGTTACATGAGTTTATTTAACAGATTTGTCAGTGTAGTGCCAGAGAGAACCTAGAAGCAATCTGCAAAAGAGCCAACTTAAACTATTATCCGCCAGCAAATGGTTGTGTCGTGGAATAAAAGAGCCTTTAGTCCTGGAGAGTCTTTATGCAAAAAGAAAAAAAGATTCCTCGCTACACAATGAAGACAAACTTAATTTTTAAACACTAAACCAATCTCCAGGAACAAAATTCAATTTACCTGAAAATAGAAAAAAGACGAGACAACTGCACTCAGCCATAAGAACAAAGACACGTATTGCAAATAAGTTGATGATAATATAAGCCAGAGCCCATCTAAGATCGCTGAAATCTGAGGCTTCATCTTGGACTGAGGTGACTTTGGAGTAGCCACTCTAGATGTTGGTGATGCCTCTGTACCATTCTCACTTTGTTGGTTAGGATCACTCGTTCTGTGATGCAAATAACAGTAATAAATACACCATGCTAACTCAGATTATTGAAGCAACATATATCAAAATATAAATCACTAGGATTTACTGGTTTACATGGAACCCATCAAATCATAAATACACTTGAAGCATATAAATCAAGGCATTCCTGATTCGATAATTTTCTACTTCGTTGTAGCATAATTCCGGTAGGACCTTTACGTTTCCTAGATCAGGTGCTTATTTTGCTTTGCTGAGGCAATGAAGCATTCTTGTTCTTCCTTACCCAGAGTCCAATAGTTTCCATTTAGGTGAAAGGGACATTCATAGCAAAATCAAGCAAGAGATTGATTACTGACCTCAAGGGAGATAACTCTTCAGGTGAATGGGAAGCATCTTTGCCAATCCCTTTTGATGACTGCGCAGCAAGTTCCATCAGGAACGCAGCAAATAGAAGTAAAACTGCAATGAACCAGCTCATGTTTTACTAAAAGGGTTTACTAGTTTAATATTTATCATCACATTTGCTAAGAAGCAAACCATACATGAGCCTAACCAAGCCATTCCAGAGGCAAATAGCGACCCGAAAAGCTGGCCTAGGGTGGCACCAGCACCAATGAACCCAAACAATCTTGAACCTGACTGAATACAGGAGCAATATTAAAAGCAGCAAAAATCACTAAGCCAGCTTTTAGATGCCATGCTGCAATATACAAACCTCACTGTCCATCACATCAATTATCCTGGCCCAGGTTGAAGAGATGGTGATAAGATTGAGTAGAGCAACCTACAACCAGTGCGAAAATCAAAAGGGAATCCAAATTAAATAATTTTAGCCATAGCTGTAAAAATTGAAAACTACCAGCTAGTAAAGTTTCATACCCAAAGAAATAATCCAATTCTCACGGAAACATAAAACCAGCCATGCTTAGTCCAGCCTCCCGGATTTGCGCTGTCCTCCAACCCAGTGGGCAAATCAGCTTCAGCCTATACATGAAAAGTGCTCCAATAGAAAATGACGAGGATCTATCTCACAGCAGTAGAAGACGTTCAAGAAAGCAATGAAGTTGTGATCATACCTTGACTCCCAATGGTGAAATAACGTCAACTCCAACGGAGGACGAATGCCAAAGAAAGAAGAAGACGACTAGGGACACACTAAAAAACCTGTGTATCACAACCAACGCCTGGAATTTCAAGCGTTAACCAAGACAACTAAAGGGGCCACAAACACACAACTTAACGCAAACACGCACAAAATGGATTCCACCTTGGTTTTGGAGAAATTAGGGAGTGAGAAGATGAGCGTGGACAAAGGAGCTGCGATCAACGTAAGAGCCAATGATCCTATGAACAAGGACGGGAGGTTCGACAATCCGAGCGAAATGGCGCCTTCGTCCCGCAAGGGTAGCACCACAAAGTAAGCGCTCAATATCTGCAGAATGCAGCAGCGGGCGGCCGAATTCAAATTTCTTCACCAGATGACATTGAAAACCCAATACAGCTTTACGGGGTGACGGGACATTGAAATTTGGAGGAACTTCTTACGAAGAAGAAACAGGAAGCAGAGTGCAGCAAAGCGTGGAGCTCATGGGGATGGACCGTGACAAAGACAGAGAGAATTGCATCCAATCGAGGTCTCCCCATGGCGATGACGGATCAATCTTCTCAAGTAATTAGACGCCTGATTTCAGGAACCAGATTGAGGAGAGCTGCTTAGAGCTCGTTATTTCATCGCCTCCTCCAGATTCATTACCGCTGGATGGTCAATGCTCAAATTTCTGAGCAAGGAGAAATTGCAGAAAAGAAGAGGAAAAAAAAACTGGAATATGTACCGCATTTTAAGCTTGTAATTACGGTAGCGAATAGGTTAAGCGAATGAAGGATTTCAATCTCTAGGGGAGGTTTTACATTGTATTGTAGTAAGGTTGTTAAATCCCGATTGGATCCGGTTCGATTCGAGTTGAGCTTTAAAATGGCTTTCAAAAAATTCCTCGGTTGAACCCCTAACGGGGAGAAAAAAAGAGGAGAAAGATAAGAAGAGGAACAAAGAAAAGAAGATGGTGAGTGGGTCATGAATGTTAAATAGATTTATTTTGTAAAAAATAAGTTTCTAATAGATATATGTAAAATAAATTTTATTTCAGTTATTAAATCTTTAATTACTACCTTATTTGTACATATATTTAAAAAATGTCTAAAATGGTTCAAACCGGTCGGATCCCAATCAGACCATTAAACCTCAAACCCCTTGTTTAATCGGATCAATGACTTAAACCGGTTTGACAACCTTGCATTGTACTGAAGAGTAAGTGCTAGGATATTTTATGTTGAAACTATGATTCAATCGTTTTACACCGCTCAAAATCATCGGCTAGTTTAAACTCTGGTAGGAGGTTTTCAGGGTCGGACTGTCGATATGGTACGACTTTTCAATCCTAGTACAAGATACACTACAAAACCCAAATCTTTAGTCGACCATCAGCTTTGACACAGAATTCATAGAAAAGAGTATAGAATTTTGACAGAGTTAATTTTTTTTCAAATATCTTATTTTTGTAGAGTAAAATATCCAAAGTCGGTCAAGAAGGTGTGCCGGGAGTAGGGGTGGCTATACAGTCCGGTCCGGTTAAATTGGCCCAAATTGATCCGGTTCAGTCCGGTCTTTTTGAAAATATAAGGACCGAAGATTGGATTGGATACAATCCGGTCTTGATCCGTTCCGGTCCCAATTCGGTCTTGATTTTACATTGAGATTGTGGGATTTGAGTGGCCTAAGGCCTTAAAGGGTGAGGAGTTGGTTAAGTTTTGTACTAAGTGCAAAGGTTTGTGACCGTTTATGCAAATTACCCTTAAGTTTTGGGTGTTGAGCTCTCTTATCCGGTCTTTATCCGGTTTTTTTACCTCAAATCTAAGCCCAAAGATTAGATTGGATTGTTTACTATCCGGTCCCGGTCCGGTCTCGGTCCGGGTTATACGGTCCGGTTTCCGGTTTTTAATCCGGTCCCGGTCCAAATAGCCACCCCTAGCCGGGAGGCCCTCCGGCCTCCGAATATTAAAGGCTCCACTTAGATATGTTAGTTAATCTATTCTTATATTATAGGTTGTATTTGTAGCATATAATGAATTGATTATAAGTATGCTGACGTGTTCAATTATATTAATTAATATGAATGTTAGTCGTGGTCAAAATTCTCATGTATATATATGCACACTAAACATGTATATTGATTGTGTTTCGAAAAGTATTGTTTGTGTTTCGAAAATCCTATTTGTAATAAAAAGTAATACAGGAAAGTTTTAATGGAATAACGATGATAACAATTTAATCTTGTGGAGAATATGAAAATTAGACAGATAATAGACAATTTTGTTTTAAACAATTTTTTTATTGTGGTGAAACCATTTTACTAATTAAACAAAACAATCGACAAAGATCCAAATGATTCTCATAAGAAACTGGTAGCAGGGGTGGTAAATGGTTAGTCAATTATCTATTTTAACCGGTAGTAGTTAGGTTTTCAGTTAATTGTATTTTGCTTAGCGATGCCCGCTAACTAACTAATTGATTAATGGTTAACCGATAATAAATCAATAACTGCCTACAAGTACAATGACAGAGTTTTGGACTTTGACTAAGGAGAAAAGTCCTAAGATTCAAATCCAACAAAAATAGCAATTCCAAACACTACTGTTTACTTTTGCAAACAAGCCTCCTCACAAAGTGTTAAATATGTTTAAGAGTTAGAACCCAAAAGTCACCCCACTCTGACTATCCTTTGGAGTCTGACAGAGCGAACCTTGCATACTAGTACTCTTTGTTTATTTGATATTTGTGAATTGTGATGATCTTGTGGTGTTTGTGTTTGATGTCTTGCTAGTTGGTACTCATTGATTGGAAGAAGACTTTTGATTATTTGTAATTATATGGGTTTGAATATAGATTTAGATTATTTATTATATTAGATTGATGTTATTTCTTTTAATTATTATTTAATTATTAATGTCAATTTGTTTTGAATTATTTGAATGATTACATTTTAGTATTTAAAAGGACATCATACAATAACAAAATAAAAATATCAAATGTCCAGATTGTATTTGTTAGCGGTTAACCGACAAACAAACTGCTAACCGAATCAATAATAGGCGGTTAACCATAAAAGCTTATCAGTTTGGTTATTGGTATGCATTTTTTGCTTAGTGGTTTACCGAAATTAAACCTATTAACACTCCTAACTGATAGGGGGAGGTGCACCAGCTACCGGGGCAACAAACATTCTCAAACCAAAAGTATCAATGCAAAATAGGCAACAACGGATGAGAAAGTTTACATAAATTTGAAACAAAACCTATGCCTTTGTTAGAACATTCTATTGAGTGATAATAAGACTTGAGCCTCCCTATTCCTTGATAGTCTGTCGCGTCTCATATAATCGTTTTAATTTTATTATACTTAATAGTTAATTTGGACAACATCTCAATTTTGGAACTCTACATCACTTTAATCATAAATTAAAAAAATTATATTGAAAGGTATTAATTAGTGATATACAACGGTGATATCCAATTTACTATATTTTGAACAAAAACATTAGCTATTCAAAACACATGAATGATGAAAATCTTATCATTTTCTTATAATCACGATATAATAGTGGTATGATGACATATATCCTATATTTTAATTTAGATTTTTTTCACAGATAGAATCCATTAGTGATGCAATGATATCCATGTTGCTAACTTACTATAATTGAGCAAAAAACAAAAACATTAACCCTTCAAAACATATGTTTGTTGGATTTTTATCACTGTCGTATTATAATCTTACCATATGTCAAGATTGACAGCACGATCATACCATTGTCATACCATGATATTATCAATATGACAAGGATACGATGATCTCAAAAAATTTGCTCGAAGATACGACTTCATACTGTCTTATCATATATTGTCATACTAACATCATACTATTACGGAAATACTTCATTATATCATCCCACCATGATCTTATCAATATGGTAAGACTAATATCACCATCATACCACAGCCATATCATGATATAATCACTATAGCAATATCATGATAGACAGTGGTAAGATGACCTGAATTCTTTTTGCTCCAAAAAGTACGTAAATGGATATCATTACGGGGAAGATGAGATCTAATAGTTCACATTATAAGGGTTTAAGCAGGTCTATGATGTAATTGAGACCATGTGCCAATGCCAGATCGAGACAAACAACAAGATGATACGATGTCACGCAATTAATGAGAAATGATGAGATTCCCATCAAGCGCATTGGACCACAACTTTGGACACCACTAGAACCTGGCAGTAGGGGATGAGAGCTAGAGTGGACTCTTTGGTTCATAGCAACAATCAGGTGAGCGGGTTAATCTTTGGTTTTTTCCTCTTTCGCTATCCCTTCCTATAGAATGAACAACTATGGTCCTCTTATCAAGGTCGTTCGATACCTCCTCTAGAAAAACCACTTAGATGAGGGTAGTATCATTCGCTTCTACTTATTATGTTAGCGAGATGAAACACTTGCTCCCTCCATTTTTTCTTGTGAACTAAATAAAAGATAAGCCTTATCCTATGAGGCAGGGAGCATTTATTATAAATGACCCTTGATGTTGCAAATCTAAAAAGGGTAATATGACTATTTATTAGCCAAAACTTTTATGGATTATTATTTATTAGCCAAACCTATCGAACTACTAAGAATTAGCCAAATGTTAACTTCAAGTTAGCAATTTAGTTAGTAATATTGACTTGGCAACATAATACTAACTTGGAAGAGGCACATGAAGGTCAACATTCCAAATTTGTAGTATTTTAATTAAGAAAAGAGTTACAAAATTATTAACGATAACATAAAATGGCTAATATTTTGATGCATTACAAAAGATTTGGCTAATTAATAGCATTTTAATAGGTTTGGATAATATAAAAGAATCTGAAAAAGGTTTGGATAAAAAATAGACATTATCCATCTAAAAACTAATAGTGCCTTGATTTTCTAAACCAAACATATATTTTGGGAGGGAAGATTGGCATAGAACACCAACAAGGCATGTCAACTCAACTCATAGTGCCTTGGTTTTCGTTGAATTAGCAACACAACTCAATTCCTTTTTATAGGATCACCATGATCAGTTCTCATTACTTTTAACTCTGTGCCATATAGTTTTGTATTAGTTGCCTGTATTCCTCTTTATATAAGAGTGATATAAGTTTAGTTTTATTGTTAGGTACTATTTAAGAGAATTGAACCTAATACCTCCAATATCAAAACTAGTGGTATTACCACTATATTAATTGTTCTTGATCATATCATATTTGCTAACACTTTGCTTTCTTTGGCTTATTCAGGCATACCCAAAACACATGGAGTTTTTTTTTCTCCCAATGCCCGGAAATTTCATACCCCATATTAACCCGTGAGTTTCATTCTTTACCTATTTGATGTTTATATATATATTGGGTTCTGTGTTCTTCTGGTGTTGGACCTCTTAAGAAAAGCCTTCAGTGGTCCCATTGTTTCGCAACAAAACTGTTGTTAACTTCCATTTTTTGCTCAAGGGTAATGTCACATTGTTTTTTTATAGGTTTTGTTAGAACTCAAACCGATGAG